TGTAACTCTTAACTGGGGACAGTTTTGCGCTGTTGGGCCCATACTATGCATTTATTCGATCCATCCTTGCTCATGCTAACCTGTAACTTCCATTCTTTCCAGATGGTGTCATGCTCACACAAACTCTCTCTCTGGCGTGGGTATCGCTTTAGAAACGGCGCATCCACAGTTCACAGGCCGAACGCTAAAGAAGAGCCATGCATGTAGCGGATATGAGCTATGCCGCTTCGCTGCATGTGGGAAAGGCCTCTGTAGAAAAGCTCCACATGGGTTCCCAGCTGTGGGGTCAGGGTCATGCTGGTTCCCAGACTCCACGAACAATGCAACGCCCATATAGCAATAAAACCCAGTTTGTCTGCACGCAGACATCAGGAAAATCTCCAGGATTTCGGTGACCCTAAAGCCTGAAAGTCAATCCCCTTCTAAAAAGAACTGGTTTGGTTGTAAGGCGCTATGAAAAACTCTGCGAACACAATCTGCAGCCGTGACCACTACAGCACACACGAGAATGGACCGGACATTCGGTCAACATAAACGTCACCGTTACAAACGCGATACCGTGACTCCCACGGTCTCCTCCATACCTCTGGTTCTCCTCCCTCTCAGCCGCAGAGAGAGTCTTCTTCTGCTTCAGGTGTTCAATTGCTGCGTTCTGCTTCATGACCACCTACGACACACCGACGTGCACGTGAGGGGAAGGGGATACACAAACACATTTGCCATACAAGGCTCTGTATCCTGTTTAGACTTGAATTCACTAACGTCGGGAAGTGCACTGACGTCAGGTGACACCTCCCCTCAGTTTAACTGACCACTTGTTCATCCTAGCTGTAGTGGTAACTATGGTACAGTGTCTTACTTAGGTCTCATTTTCCCTTCTAATACTCAGGGCTTAGCTTCCCAGCTACCTCTGCTCTGCAGGCTTCACTGCACCCAGGGCCCACCTGTTTCTGGATGATGTCGCTCTGGCTGGGGGCCTGTAGGGTCTGCTCCTTCTTGGCCTCCATCTGCTGCTGCTTCTTTTTCTGCTGCTGCTCCCGGAGCTGCTGGATCCTCTGCAGTTGCTCCTGCACGCTGGCCGTCTGGATCGTCACCACGTTCTGGATCTGGTGCGCCTGCACCTGGCCGCCCTGCTGGATCTGGATGGGCAGCTGCAGCTTGATCTGCTGGGGCACCCCGCCTTGCTGCGCCTGTATCTGGGCCGCCATGTGGGACTGGATCTGGGAGAGGACCTGGACCTGCTGCTGCAGCTGGGGCACCGTGATCAGCTGGGGCTGGTGGAGCTGGAGCTGGGGCCGGGGGGCCGGGATGGCCTGCTTGACCGAGGCCTGGTTCACAGTCTGCGCGGTCGGGGGGGCTTTGATTTGGGGGGGCGGGGTCTGGGCGGCTTGCTGCACGGGCAGCGGGGTCGGGGACTGGACGGGCGTCAGAGCCTGCGTCTGCGGGGGCAGGTGGGCCTGTGGCGTGGCCGGAGGGGTCCCGGGGGCCAGGGCCACAGCTTGCACCGGGGCGGCAGCCTGCTGGGCCGGCTGCACCGGAGCCTGAGCTTGGGACACAGCCGGAGCCTGGGCCAGGGGCGGCAGCGCGGGCTGCTGCACTGGCGCTGGGAGCGGCGGGTTGAGCGGAGCGGGGGGGAGGGGCAGGGCCGAGGGCGGGGCTTGAACCGGAGCCTGGGCCTGGACCTGGGCCTGGGGCAGCGCTGGCTTCTGCTCTGCTGGAGCTGTAGACGCAAGACGCACACAGACACAACCAGAATTAACCGAAAGCCACCTTATAAACGGTCTTAAGAAGTTCCAGTTCCACCCAATTCCTCTTAACTAAGTTTAAAAGAGCGAAGCTTGACATGACAGATCCATCTGAATGCAAAATATATTACAAGTTAAACAACAACAACAGCTGCATGGAAAATAAACATCCCCGACATAGAATTCACATCACAGCCACGTTGCTCAAAGAATTCTTGTTCCCGAGTTTTATTATCGAGCTGGCATGGCTTTGCCATTAACTCTGCCCCCTGCAGTCCTGTAAGTGTTGGCAGCTCAGCTCTTTACCTGGTACCGAAGGGGTGGTGGTGGTGCACGTCACCGCGGTCACCGTGGCACCCCCGGAGGAGACTGGCGGGGGCATGGGGGTGAAGAGGAAGCGCTGGAGCTGGCCGTTGGGCATGGCGGCCTGCATCAGCTGCTGGCCGGGGCCGGGGATCACCGTCACTCCTTGAGGGATGACCTGGAGCTGGCCTGTGGTCTGCCCCTGGCCCTGGATCACCACCGTCAGCCCCTGGCTTCCTCCCTGGGTCACAGACCGATCAAGGCAAACAGAGCGTCAGTCTCAAGACTTAAAAAAAATACAGCGCCAAAGAACTGCTCTCTTTTATGAAACAAAACCCTGCATGCAGGAGCAAAACATTGATGGGAGGTCAAAAACATGCAACCTTGTTTAATTTCAACCTTGATTTTCAGGGTTTCATTTTATTGTGGCGTCTTTGTGTGGACTGGGATTTAAACGGCTGCAAATCCACCGTCAGGCTGAGCGAAGTAAAGGCCAGCCTCTTCCTCTCTGGGAGAAGCCCCGTGCAGAGCAGGGTCCAGACATGCAGGTGACCCTGCCCCCCACTGTGAGGTCTCACCTGTCCCTGAGTCAGCTGAGTGAGCTGGGCCATAGTCAGTTTCACCTGGCCCTGCTGCGGCCGGGGTCCCTGCGGGGTCTGCGGGGCGGGCGGCTGGCCTGGGGGGGCGGCGGCGTGGGGCGGGGTGGCGGTGGCGGCTGGTTTCTGGCCCGCGCTGGTCTGCACCGTGCTCGCGTTGGAGATGGCGGTCGACACCGGCTGCCCGCGGATGATCTGCGTCACCACCTGCTGCGTCTGGCCTGCAGGACAGATTCACAGCCGGGGCAGTTAGGAGAGAGCGGCGTACACCAGTGCACTTTTTACCGTTACGGTTGCATTTAAAGCATAAGCAACTTTAATTTGGTCAAGGTGTTCTGTATTTCACCTAATTTCACTGTATTTACCCAGACTCGGTGCAAATCTCTATCCATGCCACATTTCTACATTTCTCTTATTCAATACCTATGATTTAAAATTAGCGAGGCCGAAAGCACACACACACACACAAAAGCGTGCACCGCCAACATGCAGATGAAAACGTTAGTCACAAACTGAACAACGCCCAAGTAAAAGGCTTGAAACCGAACACCTCACAACACGCTAGTTGTGCCTTTCGTGCATTACGATACGACGAAGAATGAATGGGGGGGAGAAGTCATGCTGCTGGCGTTCCAGTCTCCAGCGAGCGCCTGTTAGACACGCCGCAGGACGAGCACGGGGACACAGCGGGTCATGCAGCCACACAGGGGGAAGAGGCGAATAGAATTGGACCTACTGGCTGGGAGAATACCTTGTTGTACCATCAGGGGCGTCCGGATGATGGCTTTACCCAGCGTGGCTGTCTGCTGCAGAGGCGTGCGGATGACAGTCATCCCCGAGCGGATCTGCGCCCCCGCGGTTATGACCTAAAAGGGACAAGACCGGGAAATGGATGGAACATCGCAGGAAGCTTGAAGAGCAAAAGGCTGAAGTCTCTGTCTCGTTACGTTTACACAATCCACCGTTCTGACGGGGGTGGGGGTTCAGACAATCAACTTTTGAAATGAAACACCTCTTCACCAACTAATTAAAAAATCCTGAGTTTTGCAAATATCCTCATTTGCGTATCTTGAGCAATTAATGATGAACACAACGAATCCCACAGCTGTCCAAGTCTTTATGGCATGTTTAACAATTAAAGTTTTGGCGGCAGCTTGGTCCGCATCAGTGTCTCACAGCTGCGGGCGAAATGTTCCCAGTTCAGCCAGTAAGAGCCGCGGGACCACAGATGCCGTGAAACAAGCACGATGTGGCAAACAGCATCCTCTCTCTTGCAGCCTTTCACATGTTCTACCATTACAATCCAGCTAACAAAGGCAGGATCTGAAGTTAAAAACCACGCACCTTCTAACACAAGCGCGCATATAAAAGGTGGGCGGAGAACTGTGGAAATGTGAAGGGACTGCAAATTGGAAAATGGTAGAAGCACAACTGCCATGCTGCAGTTTACGGCTAATAACTGATTAAACAATTCCTCCCATCGGTTCTGAACCGCTGCTCAACAAACGCTCGGCCTCGCCCCCGGTTGCGACCGCGTGAGGAAATCTTTGTGAAGAGACAGTATGACCTGGTTTGCCGCTTTTGAGATTTTGCTGCCCACCAGTCTCCCGGGCTTTTCCGGAGCTCCCTGGGGATCCTTGGCTGGGATCCAAGGAGCAACAGAAAGCCAGGTTCCTCGAGGGCCTGGGGGGGCTCCGTACCTGCTGTGTGGGAGGGGACCCCCCGACTGAGACCGGGGTGTTGGGCCTGATGTTGATGGTGGCCGTCCGGGGCTGGAATGAAGTGAAGGTTTGCTGGTTGCCCGTGGTGTTGGATGGAATGATCCCCAGTACTTTCTGTTGGACCTGCATAACACCTGCAGCAACAAAGACTGGTTAGGAAGAGGTGAGAAGCACTAGCGCACCCAGAAACATTTCTCACGCCAGTGTTTTGATCATATGCCCCACACAGTCCAACCTATTTCCTCAGTGAAATGGTACGGGTGCTTTCACCGGATCTTGTCATTTGCTTCTATACCGCACAGCACAGTTGGGGAAAAAGTGGTCCCTGGAGAAACCGTGAGCTGGGATACAGGAACAAGACCAGACTGTTTTTGGAACAGGGCCTAGAGCTATCTGTTGTCCTCTGCCTATTGCAAGTCAACCTGCTTATAAAGATCAGCAAAAAAAAGGCTTGAACTCTTGACTACTCTCCAAAAGAAAACAAAGAAAAGTATTTTACACTCACCCCAAATCAAAACATTTAAGACTGTATCCCTCGGAAACAGAAAAAAACCCATCCTTACATTGCTCCACAAGAGCATAATAACAGTAATCAATTCATTGCAAACTGCTCCAAGAGCTTTTATTCATACAATACTTTTTTTCAAAATTCTAGGGTCTCTGTAATAAAATAATTGAGAGTAGTAAGGCATGGTATGCATACACTGTATATATTGCTTGTTTTCTTCTACAAATTCCATTTTTTTTATTTCAGTATTGTTGTTACTTATAGGAGATTAAACAAGTAGTTGCAGTTCTGTGCAAGTAGAAGCAAATTCTTAGATGAAACAATGGTTTTTCATCATGCAGTCTTGTTTTCCCAAATATATCAGTCTGCACCCTCATACACTGCACACAGCATTTTGTGTTATTGGTTAAAGAAAGCCAATCTTTCATATCATGTTTTTGCCCATACTTCAAAAGAATTCATGCATAAAAAAACTTAAAATGCATTTCCTGCTAAGTCACTTAAAGTGCTTTAAAAATTGCTTGGCCACGAACGAACGTGTGAAGCTATACTTTTCATATGCAGCTTCAAAAGCTTGGTTGCGGTAATTTGAAAACTTATAGTGGGTCTTAAATGGGGGTTAAAGAAAAAAAATCCAAGCAGGAGTTGCATTGCTGGCAAAACTTCAAACAGGAACTTTTGGAAAAAAAAATTGTATAGTGTGGGAGCATTAAAAAAAAAAAACAGGAGGCTACCTGTCTTTGCAGCCGGACTGTAGTATAAACTTGTTTTCAAGCTCACTTCCTTAATTATTTCCAAAACAAACAACCATTAAAACAGTCACACTGGAAAAATACACTGTCTGTTAATACTCCCTTTCTAATGAAACATGGGTGTTACTAGAGAGGAACTGTGTTTATTTGTGGAGTAATTTAGCTTATCCGCTGAATGTGGGCTTTACTCCTAGGTGTGTTACCGTCTACAAAACTTAATGTTCAACTTTTCTTTCAGAGGACTTGAAAAAATAGGAAAAAGATGGATCAAAAAAAGTCAAACAGAATCTCCAGCGTTACATCACTAGCTTTCTGTATTTCACATCCAAGGTTAACTCCCTGTTCTGTCTCGCAGCCGGAGTGGGACCGTTGGGAAAACCGCAGAAACCAAACCAAAACCTTCTGCTTTCCAGAACGTTGCCCGACCGATGTGACCAGCGGGACGGGAGTTTTGGAAGTGCTGGTGTCAGTCTGACAGGGGCTTGTGTGTGTGTGTGTGAGGTGCTCTGCCTGCTCGTGTCAGCAGGGGGGGGTGGGAGGGGACAGCTACCCCATCTTACAAAGGGAACCCAACGTGGGATGAGCTAAGCGCAACTGCTTTGGACTCACACTAACCGCGCCAACTGCTTGCGATGCGCTGAGCTCGCTTCAAACAGCACCGGTTCGCTCTCCAGATCAGCGCGGACTCTACCGCCGAATCGCCCCCTGAACTGCCCTCGCCCCGGTGTCTTGGATTCTTAAACGGCCCTGAGGCGCCCTGTGAGAGTCGGACACCGAAGAGCACGGACTCCAGCATGGCCCCCGGGCTGCGCCCTACCTCCTTGCGTGGCGGGCACGTTGACAGTGACGATCTTGCTGTTGGCGGGCAACGGCAGTTTGGCGGTGATCACTTTGCCAGGCATCGTCACGGGGCTGCCCGTGATCTGGAACGTCTGCCCCGACGTGGCGACGGTGGCGGCCACGGTGGCGACGGCGCTGGTGGACGCTGCGAAGACACACGGGGGGGGAGTGAAGCCCACTGACGCTGTTGGCGCCAGTCTGAGTCACACGACGAAAGCTCGCCGCTGTGCTTCCCTGTACCCGTCGACGGAAAACTCAACCGCCTGTTTTTTTTTTTCCCCTTTCTGAATCTCACCAGAGATTTAATTATGTTGTGGTCATTTAAAAAAAACAAACATGGCAGACTAAACACAAACAAACTTTCTGCGTCAGGCTGCGCTGCCCCCGGGGTGGGAGGAAGAAGCCGGAGTGGAGGTTATCTTATCTGCTTCCCTACCAACGTCAACTGTTCACCATTGCAATTATAATTTTGATGAAGTAGTTTGTTTTTCCAGCCCCCTCCTTTAAATAAACACAGATCAATTGCAAATATTTCCCTTCGGCCCCTTGCCCTTACCTGGGCTGCTCTGACCCTGTTTGACCCAGGAAGCAAATGTCTGGTGGAAGTTCTTATTCTGTTGGAATGTCACTGTGGCTGGAGAACCCATCTTGGTGGCCAGTACCACTTTCGTTCCCGGGGTGACCTGGCTTGTCAAGGAGCCTACCACTACTTTCTGGGGGGTGGAGGCAGGAGTGGCGGGGCTGTTCGTGGGCGTGGAGATGGAAGAGGTGCTGGCAGCAGGGGACTGTTTCTGCTGCTCCAGACGCTTCTGCAAGGCAGGAGTCCAACAGACATCAGTTGCTCACTCTGAAGTCAAGAGAACACTAAACCAGACCTCACTGTAGTGCTCATTAACCTTTATACTAAATGAGATGGGTTATAAAAAGAAGTACCCCCTAATTGCCTAACCCCACTCTTTTTTTTTCTATTCGTGCAATAAGCAGCTCAAATATTTTATGCCTAAATGCAAACTAAAATAAAAATGCCAGTCTTGATAACCGGCACAAGGCTGAACAGACATCCTTTTAGCTGCTATGGTCTCAATCTTTTTTTTTTAAGCAGCTGTGTTTAAGACAAACCCTGCGTGTGAGAAATGCCGTGAAACAAGGTGATGTCGCAAGGCGCTCTGTGCAGAGAAACACCGCCACCTGTTTTACAAACCCATGCACCGATTCACGTCTGTCCATGCAGCAGACCCCCGCAACTACAGCAGGGGATCCCAACTGTGATCCTGGGGACTCTCTCACACCCGCTGGTTTTCAGCCTGGATCGGCTCTCACCTGCAGAATCGAACCCTAGGTAGACCTAATTAAAGCGATTACTTCTTTCCAGTTCTTAAACATGTGGGAGGTCACACTCCCCAACGTCCGGCACATTAGCAAACCCAGCTTGAGAACAGAAAAAGAGGTCAAGAGCCCCGCTACAGCAAAAACCAGCAGGAGTGGGGCGGTCCCCAGGAGAGATCTGGGAACCCCTTGATTAGAAGACCACTTAGCCCAGGGTGCAAGGTGGGAGCTGTGTCCTTTCTTCCCACCTGCTGAGCAGCCAATCTCTGCTGCTTTAGTTGAGCCTCCATTTGGGCCTTGAAATCCTCTGCTTTCTTCAGCTCACTAACCTTTGCCTGTTGTTCTGCTGCCTGTGCCTTCTCCTTCTCAACCCTGCAGCAACAGGAGCAAAGAGACGAGGCATTAGCCAAGCACCCTTCAACACAATCGCTTCCAGTGCCACAGCTAACAACAACACACATCTCTTTTTTTCGGAGTGATACAGGGCTTCATGTTTCATTGTGCACTGTACTGTAGACGATGCACTTTTTGAAAAAAGCTTTAAAACGAATAACCTCCAAACACTTTCCTATACATGATAGGCACACTGCATGAGATAATTAACAAAGGCTAAAATGAAAACAAAGCACAACACATAAGATAAACCAGAAAAAAAGCCCTCCTGGAAAAGTCCGTTTTTAGGTTTTCCTATTCCAAGGTTTCTGGCTGACGCGCTTGGAAATTTTTCCAATTCTGCAAGAATCTGTACATTCTGTGGCTCATCTCTAAACTGGAAAAGTCAGAGGAAAGGTCACAGGAAGGCGCAATAATACGCCTGCATGCCATCCAGTACAAGAACTGCAAAATGATCCAGTGGCAGGCCAGGGAGTCGAGAAAAAAAAAACCAAGCAAGTGAGCCTGTTTACAGTGATACACTGAAATGGTTTGGCCAAATACTTAATAGCAAAGAGAGGTAAAGCTATTCTAGACAAGTAACGCCACCCAAGCTGGAGGTGATGGACTGAGAGGGAGACCGAAGGAGACCCCGTCTTCTTACCTTTCTGAAAAGGCCCTGATCTCCCACAAGTCCAGCTCCTCCTCCGGCACCCATGTCTCGATCACCACTGGTCCCGTCTGTTTCGGAGCTTCTGGTTTTTTAGGCCTCAGAGCGCTTGACCGCAGGCCTTTCCTCTGGGGCGTGGGTGTTTCTGTAAAAGAAGTGGCCGGGGGGGAGCAGGGGGTTGAACATCAGGGTCCTTCATCCAGTTTTTAGTTTCAATACCAGCAATTCTTTACGTCAGCTCGGCGGGATGGTCCACAACACGTGGCAGGAGGAAGAGAGCAGCTCCAGAGCTCAGCTGGAACACAAGGACGATGGCACTGGAGGCCATGGCAACCGCAGCAGCACTCCCCCTCCCTACTCTTTTACCATTCACAGAGCCCAGCAGCCTAGACGCGGGCCCCTCTCAAACCCTTTTAAGATCCGACGGCACACGAAAAACCCTCAGCACCGCGAGGAAGAACTATTTAAAGACCAAAAGCGCCAAGCGGGCGCGTTCCTGCCACGCCTTTCGGCTCGCGTCAGCCCTGTACCTTTTGGGGTGTCCGGAACCCCGATGGGGCAGATGATTTTCCTGATGCAGTACTCCGATCGGATTCCATAGGGTCCGACGTCTCTACGCTTGATGATCTCGGTGGTGGTGATCTCGGTTTCTGAAGTTTCTGCACGCAGGGCCATGAAAAGAGTGTTGTCAGCCAGCTTAGTATAACAGCGGACGAGATGCGTCCTTTCTTCATGCTTACAGGCGATCCTGCCCCGTAACCAGGTGTTTTTAAATGGCACACTTATGTGAGATTGAAGCATTACTGCTCTACAGAAGTGTCAATGCCTAAGCATTGCAAAAAACTTTACACAGAGGCAGCGTTTCTGTTCATACGAGCAGAGAAAAAAGACAAATATGTATTATTCAATATGTGAACTACTGATTCCTTTCAGAAATTAAAAAATAACCTCTACATTATGTCTAACGGCTTCTGCACTCTCAAAACACCTTTGTTTTCATTGGGTCAGTTTAGTGAAAAGTGTGAAGATGGCAGATCTGCATCTCTACTGCATGGATAAAACTGAAAGACAACTCTCGCAGTGAAATGACACGCCATTTTTACACATGAAAAACCAACACAATGACGTTTTGATACCTTTTACAATGGGATGATGTTTTTATTCCCCGTAGACGTTCAAAATGAAACTTATTTTTGTGCGCAGTTAAACTATTTTTGTGGGGAGAAAAACAGCTGGCGTTCAAATACTGATCACAAGCAGATCATGTACGTATTAGTGACTGGAGGACACTGGACGTCTCGTATCCATGCAGGTGTGCTCACCTGTCCTTGTGGTGCCACCTGTTGAGGACGGCTTCACTGCCATATCATCCCACCTCAGGCAGGCCCACAGCAACCGCAGCATGAGACTGACCCCTGCTAGCGATTTCACAGTCTGGAGACGGTACCTGAATGCCAAAGTGAAGGCCCAGAGTTACATGCTATTGATTCACATCAACACAGCCTCAACACCAATTTGGGGTAAATTAGTAAAAATGTAAAGGTAGTAAAGTGGGGAAAAAAAAAAACAAACTACAAGCAAAATAAGTGCTTGACATTTACTCGGAAGTCAAATATGATAATTTAAGCTCGGAACGTGAAATTACGGTTCACCCATTTGTTGTACTTGTGCTATTTAAAAGCTTGAGCAAATATTTAAAGTAAAAGAAAAACAGATTCGTTGAAGATATTCTCTGTCTCCTGCTCGCGGTTAGAGGAAGACATCCTTTTTGCCATGGCGCAATGCGGGATTCCCGTTTTTGTCTTCGCTTTCCACTCGCCTCCACCGGGACTTTGCCGTGAAAAGGTAGGTGAGAGAAGAAGGACAGAGATGCAGGAAAGGCTAAACTGTGGCGCCCAAGACGGTAGACGCGGATCTAAACACCGTGTGACACTAAAACAAAATAATTGCCCCAAGCTTTCAAAGTTAGTCATTTGATCAGTTTTGTTTTAAGATCAAGACAAAATCTCCGACAAAGGAACACGCACAGGTGTTAACCACACGCCGGGGAGTGAACAGAAAGCAGAAAACGGCAACGTTTCCTTTGGCTTTGGCTGCGGAACCAAATGGGAAAAGAAAGAAAAACATTGTCCCGGAGTGGAATTAACCTCTGCTTGCTCCTTTGCTGTTGCAGCTCCTCTCCAGACCTCTCTGGAGTACAGAACCCCCCCCTCCCGCCCCCCCACACCCTGGTTACCTCCATGTGATGCCGAAGGTGGGTCGGGGGGAAGGGTAGGGCCAGATATCCAGAGCTGGCTTGGCGTTGTAGTTGAACACTGGCACCTCTCGGATGCCCCCGCGCCTGGCCAGCTTCCTCAGGTCGTCGTTGGGCAGAACAAAGATGCTCTTCTTACTGCTCTTCGTGACGAATTTGCGATAAGACGGGAGGGCCGTCCCTGACCGAGTCTTTTTCGAGCGCGAGAATTTCAGCAGCTTGACCCTGTCCCTGGTGGAGTACTCCTTGCTGACCGTCATGGAGGTGACCGACGAGCCGGCAGAGCTCGCGGTGGAGTCCAGGAGCGTGGTAGTGACGGTTGTTTTGCTCTCCTCCGTCACCGAAACCATGTCCGCACTACTGTCGTGCGTGGGGGAAGAAATTTTGGTCACTGTGGTTTTCGTCATGGTGGTTAGTGTGGACACGGCGCAGTTCTCCGCCACAGACACCACAGTGGGCTTGCTACAGTGTGTGCTGGAGACTTCTGCGATCTGAACAGTCTTGGATTCCGTGGAAACAGTGGTGGTAGTGGTGGTGACTTGGGTGATGATGGTCTTCGTGGCCTCTTCCCCATTCAGCTCGACTTTGGCTTCCGACTGAGAATTGCTCACGTCTGCGAAGTCGTTACTCAGACTGGACTCCTCCGCAGAAGGCACGGGAGATGGGATAATTTTCCTGGACATCGTAACCTCTGCGTCCATGGGTTCTTCTTCATTGCTGCTGTGATCTTCTTTGCTTTTGACTTCTGCCACACTGGCACAACTGAGGTCGGACGGCGGCGACGTTACAGTAGAATCCACCGTCTCATCGATGTTGTTCTCCAACTTGGGCACTTTGACAGGAGGCAAATAGTCTTGACCAGCCACTAGACCTTTTCTTTCTCCATCGAGCACCGTGGATGGGCTGGATGGGGAAGAAAACTGACCTGTGCTGTTGGGCTTCTCCTTTGTCCCCTCTGTGGTCAGATCACCATTCATCAATGGCTTCAGAGCATCTTTCGATGGGAGAAGTTTGATCGCACCGTCCGAAGTTGTCCTAGTGAGGTTATTCACTTTCCCTTCGACTTTGTTTGCCAGCTCCATGTCTCCGGGCTCCTTTACAAGCTGTTTGGAATCAAGGATGGATTTGTTTTCTGCAACATCTTTCCCGTTGACTTGGACAGGAGTAGGGATCTGTGGCAATTCTGAGTGTGTGGTCTCATCGTTTGTGTTTTCTGTCTCCTTCAGCTCCAGGCAATCCTGCTCTTTTACCTCGTAGTCTGGCTTGTTACCGTTTTCTTCTGTGACCATGGGTTCTGAGCAGCTCTGATCAGGCTCCCTCCTGCTCACCTCCTCCTGCACGGGGCTGTCAGTTTGCTTGCCTTGTCTGACAGCTTCTGGAGCACCCCCAGTATTTTCAAGGTCCTTATTTGGCTCGCTGTTGGAATGCGGCTTGACCGAAGATGGAAGATCGTGCGTTTCACTTTTCTGATCCCTGGTGTTAAGAGCAGAATTGCATTCTGCAGGGGACTCAGATGTTTCGGAAGATGTGACCTGATCAACATTGTTTCCCAAGTCACTGCTATCCTGACTGGCAAGTTTTGTGGTATGCTGCAGCTCTGCTGCATTGTAGATTTTTGGAATGGGACCGCAAACCTCACTGATGCATTCAGTCTTTAGAGTTTCTGGTTCAGAACCAGCAGCCCGACCCAATCCCTGCTCCAGAATATCTGACTTTACTGAGCTCTGGACCTCATTCAAATTCTCCTTTTGCTCAGGCACACATCCAGCTGAGTTGGATGGAAAGTCTTTGTGATCAGACTGTTTCACAGTCCCATCCCGAGACTCCAAATGAGGGATCCTATCTGCAACTTTCTCCCCATTCTCATTTTGACTGCATAACTGGCTTTCAGGCCTGATTTCGGTAGCGCCCTGGACTTCAGGCTCTTTGGGAGTTGCACCTAAGGAAACCAAACTGCTTTCGTTATTTGAAGAGTAAGCCTTTTCTGGTCCTTTGTCTACAACTGAACTGTCTGCTTTAACTGCCACAGGGCCCTCAGTCTTCCCCATGCAGGGCACTGCTGCCTTGTCCTCTGCTTTTACCTTCAGCATAGACACACCAGCTCCTTGAACCCCTGCCTGCTTTCCTGCAAGCTTTGCTCCGGACAGCTGCTTGAACCGTTCAAGTCTCTGCTTCTCCTCCAAGGTGAACTGCTTGACCCGTCTCTCAAGCAGGCCGTCCAGTTTGGAAGCTTTGACTTTCTTTTTGTAAGCAGTCCTGAGCTGAAAGCCCTCGCTGACGTTTACAACGTCATCATCAAAAGGTTTCGCTGGGGGCTTATGTGCCGGCTCAGTTTTTGCCACCTCTTCTTCCTTCGGCTCCTCCTTGACAGGTTTCCCATCGTCGGGGTAGCCAGAATTCCCGTTTTTCCCTGTTCGACAACAAAGTCCATTATTTCAGACCGCTGTTAGCGCCGTCTCTACTGAACAACATGCAGACAAAACCAATTTAAATCTTCAAACCCTAAAGAATGTAAAAGATGACCCCTGAAACTTGCAGGCAACACAATGATTGATCCCAAAAAATGACACTTGAGAGATCAGAACTTTTTGGATGACAATCGCACTCAGCCCAACACAAGAAATACACGAAAGTAACTGATGTTTCTTGAGTTAAAACGGAAGAAACCTGACATAAGGGGTCATTAATATTGGCTGACCTTGAATTAGGATATGAAATAATGGCCACAAATACCTTTTTCTTCGGTCTGTGATGAGTCCGGAGGACTTCTGTCAACATCCATCTCTTCAGTCACTTCTCTGTCTGTTTTTTCCTTTACTTTTGCCGTTGAGCCGTTTTCTGAAGACTGTGCGGGGGGGTTTTGGTCCTTGTCCTTTTCTAGCGAACTTTTAGCAGAGTCCTTCGCCGAAGTTTCCTTCTCGCGGGTCTCGGCTTCTGCTCGGAGTTTTGACGCATTTCTTCTTTTGTCAACCTCCGACGCTGCACTCTCCTTGCCATTTTTAGCGGCTGAATTAAAAAAAAAAAAAAAAAAAAAAAACATACCTTAAATTGAATTGGGGGATTCTCAAACAAGCCACCCAGCCATGCGGATGAAGTGGATATACCTCGGCTTCAGTCAAGAAACATCTGGATGAGATCCCTGGATCAAGTATGTAATAGCAACCAAACAAGCTACATGGACTGTGCTGCCTCCTCTTGCTTTGACCTTTCTTGAGGTCTTCAGGACAAGTACCACCAGTACTGGATGGTAGCAGCAAGAAGTCACAACTCATTTTTTATCATAAGGTACAAGAAGCAGAATTTATCTTAAAGAGTACGAGGGTGAAGAAGTCAATATCTTGTCACATTTTAATGTCGAGTTTTATTTAAAAATCAGTGGATGCCTGTAAATTACACAGTATTGAGAAAACACCGTGCATCACCTTCAAACAGCAGGACTGACCATCATTTTGACGGCTTTCACAAATTCTGCACACTGTTGGTTTAGCTTCCAGGACTACAGATCTTCACCAGGTGTACTCACCTTCCAATGCTTTCCGGTAGTGGACGTTGGTGTTTCCCGGAAACTTGGGCAAGAAGCGGTGTACATGGGTTTTACTAACCCAGCTCCAGCCCCCATACCCAGTCACACGGTATTCCTCCCCCTTCTGCTTCCAAACCTTCGGGGAAGCAGAGATTGCAGCCGCATGGGAAACGCGCAACTGGGAGGGTCAGCTAAATCCGCACGTTCAACAACAACAACAAAACACTGGTGCTCGCCAGTTGTGATGAATGCCTGATACGCTACATCAGGACATCATACGGCAAAAGTATGGTGGATGCTACACATTGGTGGTGGTGGAGGGGAGTCCCCATTACCCGTAAAGCGCTTTGAGTGGAGTGTCCAGAAAAGCAATTATTATTATTATTATTATTATTATTATTAAAAAGAGTGAGCAGAAGCCGCCCAGTTTCTCAACTGAGGTGCACGCGCGCGTCAGCCATCGTGACCCGATTCATCCCTTGAAAATATTTAATTAGAACCTACAAGCAGATGTACTTCAGCAGTCAAAAGTGGGTGCACTGTATGTTATAATACTGAATTCCCCCCAAGTAAAATCCCCAAATTAACCTCATTGCAGCTCCCAGGCATGAGAGTGCTGTGCTCGGACTGCTTACCTGGTGTTTAATGGGAAAGGTGTACTTGACCCATGTGGCCTGCTGCATGGTTTCCTCCTCCTCCTGCTTTCTTTCCCTCTTTTTCACCTTTTCCTTCTCCTCCCTCTCTATCGAGGTCATTCGGTGTAACCTTGACATCAGAAGAGTCCGCAAAAAAAATAATAAAAAACACACCCCTCGAAAAGCCCAGCCCAGATCAAAGCCAAGAGGTAAGCCCTCGGCTGTTTTTGGCAGAGATCCATCATTTAGAAAGCCGGGCCCCGGCGCGTCTCTAGGGAATAGCGTGGACCTCTGAAACACTCCACCCAGGCTCTGCCTGGCAGTTTCTGCACAGTATGTGAGCACGATCTTTGCTTTTGCTTGAAGTGGGAAGATGGGGTTACGCTTAAGAAACGGCAACACGGGCAGCCGTCCAAAATAAATGTTTTCTTACACAGAGGGTCTCATTTGATCAACTGCTGACCACCTCCCTGAAAATCTGACTTTGCAAACATTCTCGGAAAAACGGAAAGGGGACTTGCTAGTACACCTATAATTGCAAATGAAAAAAAATCTTAAGAGCATACGTTACACTGGACCTGAAAAAAATGTTAGATTTTCTTTGTTCAAGACGAAAACTAAAAAAAAAAAGAAAAAAAAAATCACAAATAAGAACAAATGACAAAATGCTCAATCTTCTCCGCTCCCCAAGTTTCCACTTGCCTCGTATGTCCAAGCGCATCCTTCCACACGGGCAGCATCACGACTGGTTTGATTGCACATTCTAGGATCGCCAACGCCAGAGCGAACTCCCGGGCCTTGCTGCACATCTGGACGGCCTTGATCCAGTTCGACCTGTCACGCGAAAACGGAACAGCATCACTGACCATGGAAACGGGGCATTCTCAAGCACTTAGGTCCCACACACCCAAAAAAATACTAGTCAATCAATGCATGTCATACGGTCAGCAGAGGGGGCTGAAAAATGCTGACTGGAATTAACTTAAGTACTAAAGAAATGTCAGCTTCCTGGCAATGACAGACAGCCTTTCATTTTTGCCCGGAGGGTTTCATACGGCCTTTGGGGTAGCATTTTATGAGCGACACTTTTCTTCCTACATTCAAAACTGGAAACCGAGGACACCATTCCTCTCCTGGCGCCTTCAGCTGAGGAGTCCAAGACAACGGGTTTAAAAGCGCCCCCCGAAATCCTGAGGCCTGGTATTCTAAAACTACAAGGGAAGGCAAGGAAGGGCACCTGCACGCTGGCCGTTACCTGTGGGACGCCCAGTTCGGGTGCAGGAAGGGCGCGGGAATGTTGTTCTCCAGCTGGATGATGGTCAGCCTGAGCGTGGAGATGGTCAGCACTTTGGAGCCGTGGACGGAGCCGTTCCACTTGAAGTCGCCGGCGGGCGTCATGCAGAGCTTGTGGGAGAGATGCCGCCGCTTGTCGTGGTCCTCACGGTGCTGGTGCTTGTTCAGGGCCAGGGCGTTGGTGCTGTACTGGTTGTGGTAGACCCGGTACTTGCCCTCCTGGCCCAGTTTGAAGTAATTGCTGAGATTTCCCTTCATGACAATCTCCTTCCTGGTGCTCAGGCGAGAGACCTCCCCTTGGGAGTTGACGACGAGGGCCTGGGGGGGGGGGGATTCATGGCACAGAACTATCAGCACGCAGCACGCAGCGCTTCATCCAGCATTTTCGCAGGCTTTTACCCCGGATAATATCCTTAGGCGACAAAATGCGATCCTAAACCAACGAAAAACTAAATCTGATCAGAACGGGACAGAAGACCAAGTCTATTCGCGCACGGTTACAAATAAAGGTTTTGCAGAGATGTCCGGAAAAAACCTTTTATTTTTAGACAAACAGACATTATTTTATTATTTTATTTACAGGAACTACATGCGGCTGTGAAGGGGGGAAAAAAACCTAAGAATTCAGGGAGGAAAACTACGGAAACCAGCGTGACTGGAGCGCGCAGCCCTCGACGACACGCTCACGGGAGACGGAAACGAGCAAGCACGACAGCAGCGCTTGGACAGGACGGTCCACAGCCCGGCCCCCGGCTCACCTCCTTGCCCTCCTTGTAGTACTTGTTTGCCTCGTGCGCAGCGGCGGCGACCTGCTGGCTCTTGAGCTGGCTGAGCTTGCTCTCGGGGTTGCGTAGCCGCGTCACCATGCGCGTGGAGCCCGGCGTGCCCCGGCCTGCGCCGGCGCCGTCGCCGCCCTCTCCGGTCGCCTTGTCCGCCTTGCCGTCACCTGTCAGGAACAGGACCGCCGCAGGTCAACTTACATGAGATGAGGGAGAACCTACTGAACAGCATGCTTAGATTTTGTAAAGGAGACTGCTGACTCTGGCCAAAGTAAATATGCAACTTAGCGAGATATATGCACGCAAACACACAAACGCATTTGAGTAGTTATTGAAGACTTGAGGATATATGGGCTAAAGCCATATTAATACAAACTTTGCTGCACAGGAAACAAATCATTCATGCCGAGTTCACATATTGCCAAAAAAGTGGTTTTCTAAGACGAATGCGCAGATCAGATGGTTTTAGGTCAGACTTTCTACAGAACCCCGTTCTGCACGCAGACAAATACACGCCTATTTCATCGAGTCACCCCAGTGTTCGTTGAAAAGAAGAAAAAAAAAAGGGACGCACCCGTTTCCTCCAGGCTTGCGACGGACGACTGGGAGGATTTGTCTGCACTGTCCGGCTCTTCGGGGCCCCTGGAGGCCAGGGGCTCAGAGGAGGAGGTGAGGCTGCTGTTGCTGTTCTCGTCCCCAGCCTGGGAGGGGGGCTGGCTGGGGGCCGCTGCGCCCTCATCGTTCCGGGAGCTGGAGTCCGCTGGCTTATCTGCACAAGACGCAAACACTGTTGCGACCTGCTGCACTGTAACAAACTGATTTCACATGCAGTGCATCTCATGTACCACACGGCAGAACAATCTTTTACTGGTGTGCAGGTGGGCAGGTTCGGACACAGGAGGTAATCCATTTAAGAGTTATGCAGCACATTTGAATGGCTTTTACTCCCGAATTAATCAAACAGCAACCAGGGTGTCAAAAAAACTAACTTCTAAACAAAGCACAGCTCCTAAAACTTTCAAGATCTCTTTGGTTTTGAAATGTGAAAACAAACGAAGATACTGACATGACTTGTGAAACAACAAACTTTCAATTTCAATGGTACTAATCTGCTTGCATGTCCAAACAGATGTGTTAATATTTTCAGGACGTGAAGAAAAGAAAAATATCTTATTTCAAATCAGACACAAATGAAACATTTTCACAGACAAGCACTCCCCCTGTTGGCAAAAAACCACCTGCACTACATTCACCCTTTTCCAGTGTAATCTCAAACTATTACAGTATTTGTAATTAGCATATCACAAAAGAGGCAGCTAATTTAGAAAACAGAAAACAAACACGCAGGTAATCAAGCCAAGTAGCAGAAAATGAAAGACAACCTCGCAATAAACCTTAACGTGGTGTGTACACACACTGTCTCAGTATGCGCCCAAAAGATCTTACAAACGTGCAGTCAGAAAAGAAGCAATGAAGTTTTTAAAAGCTTTTAAGCAATCGCATATTTTAATTAAATTAAATTAAGTACACCTATAAGTATTCATATAAAGAAGTCATATGTATCATGTTATGTCAACAGAGGTTTAAAAAAGTAAATCACAAATCAACTGGTTGGCTGTCTGAGAAAGAGCCTCAGTAGCCACAATCTAGACCTGGTTCGTCAAGCGCTAGTTTTCACAGTTAATAATGGTTATACTGAGGAAACAAAGCACAGTCACAGGGCTCTGTGACCCACACACACATACAGACACAAGGACGCTGCCTACAAGCAGAATAACAGACAAAAATAATTCTGCAATAACGAGACAGCCCAAAAGCAGTGGATGCAGCAATCAGTCATTACAAAAAGCAATTAAGACTCCAGAACCCATGTTAAAATAGTACGCAACCGAAATGACAAAAATTGTGAAAGCTGACTTAAATATTAAAAGCATAAACACGCCTTTTAAATATATGTACACCGTGCAAAATGTAAACAACGTTAACGAAAAGCAACATGCAAAGCACTGCTGCCAACAGGTATTTTTCTTTGGGACATTCTGCTGTCACCAACACTAACTGAAAGAGACATAGGGTGGAGTTCTGCAGGACGCAACTGGACTGACCTGATGCTTTTGCAAAGGAAAGAACAAGATTCCTACCCGTCCTTAGGAGCACCCAGTACTCTTTCGGCCACCTGCTGAGGCTAACAGCTGCTTAGACCAAGGTTTAAAATAAATCAAAGTTTCACATTAAGCTCAATTTCATGTCAACCAGTTATAAAAAGGAACATGTCTGACCAACAAAAGCCACCTTTTCTCCTCACTCTACTACTATTAGTGCTACTGCTCCTTGTATCGCCTCTTCATCAGAACCGAAGCCCAACGCAATACACAGCAGAGGTTAACAACGCAGACACGGGCAGCAATGTGCTACACTTGCCGAAACTGGTTTTGTGGGAGCAAAGCCATTTTTCTTCCCCCAGGAGGTGCGTTTAAACAAATGACTGCCTTTGGATTAGAGAAATAATAGACTTTTAAATTCCACTTAAAACGCCGATTTAAACTACGTATTAAGTTTCTTTCACTGCTGATCCAGCCTGTTAGGACTCTGTAAGAATACCTACAGAACAACCGGTTGTAATCCATAAACAAGCGGTAAACTATAAACAAAATGCAAAACTATATGCACAGTACTCTCTTAAGCTGAATTCTGAAACCCAGAACAGGAACAGTAAAACCATCACCTCTAACAGATACAGATGGTTCAACAAAGGGTCAGTCATGTAAATTTGCAAGAAACATAACAGGAAACCATTGCTGTTCACAACATGACTACACTGCATTCATTTGGAAGCGAACAGACGCTCGTACACCTCAGATTTCACACCTGGTGCATCAACTCCAAGACTGTACGCCTACAAGCAGTCTGCGTGCAGGATCTCCCTTGGAGACCATTTGCTTTCCCGAGGCTCAGACACTTGGTGAAACATGAGGGAAGCTCTTTGATGTCACAACTGTAAATTGAGATTTCCCGTGCAGTGTGAAGAAGTATGACCTGTGCACAATGAACCCTTTTAACCGGGAAACTAATTCTCACCTTAAGACTACTCCCTGCCCTGCCCCGTGCTGAGATATGTCAGTAAATGAGCGGCACGCAGTACCACCAACAAAACACGTTTCCTGAAACGATGGGTGCATTTTCGTAACGCACACCTGTGGTTAATCACAGTTATAAAACTAACATCTTCAAAAATCACAAAAAGCAAGAGATGGGTAATAAGACATGTGGGCTGATGTCACGTCTTAATGTTTTGCTTTTACGGGAGGTGCAAATGGAACGAAAAAAAATTATCACACAACAGCTGAGATGCGCACTTTGCAATCCACGTTCACGCACAGGTAAGCACATGAACATACACAAGCGATCAAAGACGCAGCACCGTGTCTGGAACACTGCAGGACAGGAGCTCACAGAAGTTGCTGCAGCCAGTACCTTGGGCCTCTGGCTGAACCTCCTTGTTGGCCGATCCCTCTTCACATGTCTCGCTGCACTGAGGGAGGGCTGTATGGGTGCCATCTGAGCTCCTCTCTTCCTCAGGGTGGTGGTGTTCTCTCTGGAGAGCCGTGCTGTCTGGAATAGGAGAATCAGGCCTGGACGCTTCAGACCTGCAGCCCTCCTCTCCACCAGGTGGTGCTGTTGCTGCAGTGAAATGCACAACACAAGAACTTTTCTTCTCAAAGATGTGGTCTCCCCTCAAAGTCCTCTGATTGACAAGGGGCTATGTATTCCAGTGGAAAGCAGCACTTGACTGAGTGTGTGGAGATACTTCCCATATTCTTAGTTCTCTGTATACTGAGTTACCAAAAGAGATAAGCATGTTGCATTTTTAAAGCTGATTGACGTTTAATAATGATAAAGTCTTATCATGACAGAAAACAGTACTGCTGATTAGTAGTGCTGATTCAGTAAACCAATAACAGGCAGGACTCCTCTCCTACAAAAAGTTGTATTTAAACCCGAACATAGGCTGCACCTTGTGACTGCATTGAGTAAAGATGGCAATTTTTCATGCACTGATCAGATTTACTTTTCTAGGCAACACAGAAAATCAGCCAGAAGGAACTCATAGCTTTAGAGACACCCCATACCTTCAGTTAAGGCAGGAAACTGCGAGTTCAATCACAACCCACCTAGAAAATTAAAGACGCCCCATGTGTGTCCGTAGGGTTTGCCAAACACGCAGCCCCGCCTGATCTCATAACGGAGAGCAGTGAACGGCCTGTCCCAAGGAACAACACAGGAGAGAATCGCTACGCCTGCCTTACCCATCTCCGCCGCCTCTTCCCTAGACTGTCCCTCCGACAGTTTCTGCTCCCTTTCCGGCTCGGGCTCTTTGTCCGTGGTTGAATCCCGCTGCTCGTTCTTCTCCGGGTCGGGCTGCCCCTCGGCGCCCACGTCCCGCCTCGTCTTCCCGGCCTCCTCCGCCGCCTTCCTCTTCACGTCCTCCAGCTCCGCCTCCTGCTTGGCCTTCAGCCGCTCCAGAATCTCTTCTGTGGGAGGGCAGGAGGAACAGGTGTCACAGGCCGGCCACTGGTCCCGCTCCAGGAGCAGGGCATGGCCAAACGACTAGGGGACATCTCCCTCTTTGCTAACGTAGTTCAACAGAACATGTGCGAAAGACAGGGGGCAGCAACACACAGGGTCGGTCTCCAAAGGGCTGGAATCGCCTTTGTCACACAGCAAGAAAGCAGGACACTTCACCTACAGAAGACCCTTGAAACAGTTAACTTTTCATTAGCATGTTTCATGGGATGTTTCTTGGGAATTCTTTGAAATTCAGAAAGGACAGAAAACTATCTTTTAAGAAACCCACATCCAATGCTGGTTAGTCTTTGCAAGGCTGAAGTGAATTAAATCACACATGGGCTCAGTATGTTCTCTCCCCCTGCTCCATCCTCAGCCAGCTGGTGACAGAACTCAGAATGAATTAATAAACTTAGGCGACAGATCTGGGTCTTGATTCTGCACACATCTGAACTCGGTAATCTGAGCCCAGGTTACAACACAAGTAGCTGCTATAATTTAATCGACATTAACAGTGTCTTAATCAGTAGTGGCAGAGTCATGAAAACAGCCCCATCACTTCATTATGTGCAAACTAAAACGGCTCATGGGAGTTCTGTCAGCATTCTAGACATCACCAGCCCTGCCTCACCCACGACCGGAGACACTGCACATTCCTAGTAACAGCAGTGCACATGCTTTGTTATGATATCTATCTTCCTATTATCCCAAAACCACATCACTGATTAAAAAAAATAAAAAAGCATGCACATCTACAAGGTTACTGTGCACTTTTCAAGAGATGACAGAAATAGCTACAGGAGAGGTTCAGTTATTTTTCTATGGGACAAAGTGTTTCAACCTTAAAATCTGTCAAATGTATTACTTATATAGAAAACCGGTAAGAAAATGTAATTGCCACCAATAAAAAAGCTATCGTAGGACTGTTTCTAGATTCTGAACTAAAAATAACCCAGGAAAATAAACTGCATAGTCTGTGGGGAACTGGCTTCTGTAACAATTAACACTGTTGAACACCAAACAACTACTGAGCTCCTGGGAATCTGGGATAAGTCATCCTGCAGTTGTTAATGGGGAAAAAGTATTTAATTTTGCAGTTTATACTTAAGTCAACCTTTTAGAAGGACCAATACAGCTCCTTAATTCCATAATTACACATTTGTTGAGACAAACAGCTTGACGTCTTTCAGATATAAAAGCATCTGAATGGTCTAATGTAACATGGCTATGTAAAATGAAAAACTGACACCAAAAAAACAATTAGCCAAAAGCATTTACAATTAGCGCAAAGGCATGTACAAAAAAAGTATTGCCATGAAAAAGTATTTACCCCCTTCCTGATTTCCTCTATTTTTGCATATTTGTCACACTGTCAGTTTTCGGATCTTTACACAAAATGAAGTATTAGATAAAGGGAACCGGAGTGAACAAGTAACACTTATTTATTATTATTTCGTTTATTTTATAAACAAAGTTATCCAACAGAGTTATTACTCTTAATAGCTGGTTGTGCCACCTTTAGCTGCAATGACTGCAACCAAATGCTTCCTATAATTCTTTCACATCGCTGTGGAGGAACTGTAGCCCACTCTTCCTCACAGAACTGCTTTAATTCAGAAGCATGTGCAGGTTTTCCAGCATGAACTGCTCGTTTCAGGTCCTGCCACAGCATCTCGATGAGGTTTAGGTCTGGACTTTGACTTGGCCACTCTAAAACTTTCCTTTTGCTTCTTTTCAGCCATTCTGATGTGGACTTGCTTTTGTGTTTTGGATCATTGTCTTGCCGCACGACCCAACTACACTTCAGCTTCAGCTCACAGACGGATGACCAGACATCCTCCTTAAGAATTTTCTGATGCAGAAAATTCATGGTTCCTTCAATTATAGCAAGTCGTCCAGGTCCTGAGGCAGCAAAGCATCCCATCTCCGTCACACTACCACCACGTTTGACTGTTGGTATGATGTTCTTACTGTGGAATACTGCGTTTGATTTACGCCAGAAATAATGGGACCCATGTTGTCCAAAAAGTTCCATTTTGACACATCTGTCCATAGAACAATCTCCCAGAAGGCTTGGGGATCATCCAGGTGCTTCTTGGCAAATGAGAGACGAGCATTTATGTTCTTCTTGGTAAGCTGTGGTTTCCGCCTTGCTACTCTCCCATGAAACCCATTTTTGCCCAGTCTCTTTCCGATTGTGGAGTCATGAACACTGACCTGAGGCAAGAGAAGCCTGCGGTTCTTTGGATGTTTTTTTAGGATCCTTTGCGACTTCCAGGATGATTTTACGCTGCGCCTCCGGAGAAATTTTGGCAGGCCGGCCACTCCTGGGAAGATTCACTGCTCTTCCAAGTGTTCTTCATTTGGAGATGATGGCTCTCACCGTGTGGTTCGGTGGAGTCCCAGAGCCTTAGAAATGGCTTTGTAACCCTTTCCACACTGATAGATATCAACATCTTTTCTCGGATCTCTTCAGGAATTTCCTTTGGTCGTTGCATAATGTGCTTGTTGAATCTTTGTGCTGGCAACTTGACTCTGATGTTAAGGGTCAAAATAAGTGAGGTTTATACTGAACGGGGCTGGCTGTAAACAAGCCTGGCTGTATTCAATCAGCTGACTCTAAATTACCCCTTAAATTGGGCTGATTTAACTAAGGGGACAATTACTTTTTCACACAGTGCCAGTTGGTGTTGGACACCAATTAATTAAATAAATGAAATGTTAAAAAAATGTATTTTTCAGGTTCCCTTTATCTAATAATAGATTTTGGTTGAAGACCTGAAAACATTCAGTGTCAAAAATTTGCAATAATAGAGGAAATCAATAAGGGGGCAAATACGTTTTCACGGCACTGTTCAAGAAGTACACTGATGTGTTAAAAAAACATCTGGAAGCTGATTGTTTTTTCCCCAATGCAGGCAACCTCGATTTCTACCTATTGTTGCTGGTATGGGGGAACAAATCTAAAATGGAAGAATTAATCAATCATGAACAGCTCCCATGATTTGAGCGTGTATCACTTCAAAGTACTGTGCATTGAGCAAGAACTAATTGCTACAAAAAATAAAGACCTAAAGTCATTAATTCTTCAAGTGGACAGATTTCGGCAAACAACTCTTTTTGTAAATTGCATTATCTTTACTACTTATCAGTTTACAATGTACAGCGTACAAATACACAGACAATTTTCCTTTATTTGTGCCTGCATACAGGCAACAGAGCCATTCCTAGAGACCATTTTATATGGCGTCACTGCATCGATGACATTTTTTCCAAATGTGCATATGTTCTCTCAGTATGTCATAGCTGGGGACCTGCCAGGAATACATCAGTTTTCATAACCTACTCATGCCAAAACCCAAGAATCAGTTAAGTTTCAGATGGTCTTAACCTTAGCACAGCAAAACACTGCACTTAAACAGGCTTTGAAGGTATATTTCAATCTATAAATGTAACAAACACAATAAAAGGTATTAGAGAAACATGGGATTGTAAACTTGTCAGCTCTTTCTGTGTGTAAGGTGACAACTTGAAAAGGTAAATTCAGTAAAGACAAGTAAACATCGCACAACACTTTCCAGAGACGCTGTCAGGGTGTCATTAAAAAACTCACTTCGCAGTTACAAAAAATATACACTGAGGCATCTCATGGGACTTCAGACTTTCACCATTTTAATCCCTTATGACACAGTAGCCCTGGCAGGTTTTCAGTTCACCCACGGCAAGCTTTTCCAAAGACAATAAAACTTTTAGTAATGGGTTTTAGGATCCATTCCAAATAAACCAGGCTGGTTTTTCAAAGCAAAACGGCTAACGCGCTGCTAACTCTGGAGGTTTCACACTTCACCTAGGCTTTGGATTCTCATTCCTTCAAGAAGAAGAATTCCTAGGAATTAACCTTTCATCCCAAGGATCCCAAAGCACTTCTCACAGAGGAGGGAGCCCATTTCATACACCACTGAAGTGCAGCACCTACCTGGGCGATGCACAGCACCGCAACAGAGCAGGCCAGGCAGAGAAGCAAAAAGCTGTTTCATTAAAGAAATTAAGGGGGGATTTGAGGAGTGCCTGACAGCGAAAGTCCAAAGTGGAATTTAATCAGGACACCGGGTTTAACACCCTGCTCCTAAAACAGCCATAGGATCTTTAACAACCACATAGTGAGGACCTCTTCAACAACTCATCCTAAGGACAGCACCTCCTATAGCAGTGTGCTTTAGTCATCATAGCAAGGCACTGGTCTGGAAATGGCCCAGAGGGAAGAGAGACACCACAATTTGCAGCACCAACCTTGATTTTCTTGGATAACCCCAGGCCTTGCTTAAAGTCAGAGAGGTCTTCTGCTGTTGGCTCTTTAAAGCTCCAGAGTTCATTTTCATGTCACCTTAATGAGTGAACAGCATGAAATGAGCTTCTTCCTTCTTTGGAAAGCCATGACCCTCAAGAGGTATACAAACACCTAGCAGAGGCCTCTGTATTTGAACGGGAGGGTAGGGGCTGGACCATCTGTACCATAGAGGTCATGCTTGCACACAGGGTAGAGCAGAGGGAGATTTTCAAAGAGCTCCACGCTGAGCACACTGCTCTTGCAGGAGGCCTCTGAGCTATTCACTCCATCATCCCTATTCTCTGCCGGTCTTACAGAAGCTCCCTGGATGAGTGCCCAGTGTCCAACGTGCCAAAGCACAGAAACAGACTTCCATTCACAGAGGCGGCTGAGACCGTAACAAACTTGCTTCATTGGTACCGCACCCCAAGCCCTGCACAACTCTGCGCGTCAACTGTGTGCCTGTACAGGGCATCACTACCTAAGGCCACATCCTGTCTGTGCAGATTTTTACACAAACAGAGAGCACATCCTTGTATATCTGCTCCTTTACAATTGAAAAGCAAGCAAGAAACTGAAGCTAAACAAAAACAAAAAATAAGTCCTGCCAGCACTGTCAGGTTTTCTGCCAAAGAAGAAAATTGCTACAAAATGACCGAGAAGCCCTCAACAAGACGAGGAAAATTAGAGACAAAAAACTTAAGTCTGCAATAAATGCATGTGTTGAAATCAAATGTTAAAATAAACTATCCAGCATTAGAAGTGGAAACTTCTGTAAAGGCTGTCATGTGCCCAATTAAAAAAAAAAGTACGAGAGGAAATATATAAACATTCTGTGAGCTTGGTAAAAGGAAAAACAGGTGCCTGATTCAGGGGTGTCAATTTTGCGGGATTTTTTTTTTAAAACCAATTTTACACATCTCCAAGGACGGCAGAGCATCACAAGAGACAAAGCCGGTAAAAAAAAAAAAGAAGTAGCACGGCTTGGAAAAATAACAGAGCGCTTTTGAAATGCTGAACAGCAGCCTCCTCCTCGGCAAAGGAGGTCCTTGGGGATTCTGAGCACACAGCAGCAGAAAAACCACCGCTGCCATATCTCCTTTCGGGAATGACATCCATTATAAATGTTCGCCAAGGTGTATGATAGCACAGGAATAGCAAAGCCCAATTATTGCACATAACAGCTGCCATCACTCAAGTCTCATCCCGAGATGCACAATAGTCAGCTTGTGACGGACGCGTTCTAAAATTTAAAATCCGGGATGAGTAGGCCAGGACAGACAGAAGCTCCCAATTGCTCACCAGGGAGAGAAGATGAATAACTTTACATTTCTGCCTTTCAGTGCGAAGTTTCTTACATATTACATATTACATTGATTAAACAGGAAACTAATAAACTCTATCTCCAAACTGACTTCACTTTAATTTACGTTTATATTACTCTGTAAAAGGGGGTATCCAGCACGGAATCCCCAACATTCTCGCTCGTCAACCGCTTGTGAAACTGTCGCACAATGTGCACTGAAATCGTATTCCTTTTCCTGAGTGAGAAAGCGTATATAAAGAAAGCTCATGCCCATTAAAGCTAGCTTTATAATTTATAGAAAAGGCATAGCTTTGTCATAGTCTGGAGTGACACCATTTTTGTCTCAGAATTTTAATACCGCCTTGGAAAATGATCCAAACGGTTTACCAAAACGGAAAAGTCTTCTCTGTGTGGGAATTCTCTTCATTCTCACAACTTGCAAGATCATTTTTTAGCAATCCCTCCAATGGTTTATAAGAGCAACAAAAAAAAACTGCACCTCATAACAGTACCAATCTTAAATTAGGGTTCTTCAGAAGTACAGTGACAGCCAAGTGAAATTTACCGGAGGCACTGGGGTTAACGCCTAACTCATGCGCAGTGCCAGGAGAGCTTTAAAGATCACGCAGACAGGTGCTGGTTTAACACTTCATCTAAAGACCAATAGCTTCCACACAGTCTCCCTGGTCAACATACTAAGGTGGATGATAAATTTTCATTCGTTAAAAAAAAATCATTTTTAATCTTTAAATAACTGAAATAAAAATGTTGAAGCATCTGGGGGAGAAACAACCACGCGCTGAGACCAAGACCTTTTCTACAGGGTCTTTCAACAGGGGCCGAGGAAACGCAAGCAAATCACTTCCACACAAAACATCCTCCTTTCCCGACTTCTCTACTGGTGCCGAACAGAGGTGATCCGCATTCTCCCAGCCATCCACTCAATGGAGTAAAGAGAACCTTCTTACCGTTAGCTGCGGCCAGAAAAGACTTGTTATTGCCCCTGGCTTTGTTGGTGAGATCTTCCGTTATGTCCATGTGAGTGTGTATTTCCTCTCTCATCTCCTCGAGAGTCCTGCACAGTTCGCTCTCCCAGTAGTCCTTATCTAGACAGTCAATCAGTTCTGCTAACTGGACCTTTGTGCTGTAGTACCATATCTTCTTATTCTCATGTTCACCGTCTTCTTCGCTGGAGAGAGCAGAGCCACAATTAGTGCAACGAAATACAGAAAAAAAAAGAAACCCTTAAAATATGACACATGCCTTTTCAGAGAGGGGTTATCGCACCGACCCATCAAGCACTTCATGAAGATGGACAGAAATGCTGTTGGCGAAGAGTATCTTGACAGTCATACACACAATAAAAATTTCTTCAAAATTTCTTGTAAAAAAATGCAACCCATTGAGTCCTGAATGACACTACAAGTTTCCAATGTTACCTTTTGAAATGACAGAAATACAACTAACAGCAGGACCAAAGCCTTCAAACACTCCTGTTGGACTGAAAGGATAGAAATGACCATTTCTGACAATTTCGTTAAATCTCATTTATATTCCTTATACTAAGCCCTGTATAGTCACTATGGCTGTCATCCAGCAGCTAGTTAGCATAGCGAGTACAGGAGGTTTATATAAAAAGGCAACCACAGTTTCCCAATTTCAGAAGTAGAAATGATATGCAAATGTTTTGCCTCTCCCTAGTTTTCTTAGAGATGCATTAATGAGTGAAGACCTTTACAGCACCATGGACCATCTCCCCCATTTTGAACTGTGACGTTCAAATCGAGAAAACACAGAACCCTCTGGAAAAGAATAAGAGAATTGTTTCACCATCCAACAAACAAACAAACGAAATATACTGAAATACAAACAGACGATAAGGCATTTGCTTCAAAATTTCACTAAGACGACGAGGAACTGTTTGCACAAGTTTCCACAAGACAGTGCAGCGGAGAGCCTCTGGAATGTATGAAGACAAACTATTATGCAATTTGAAATCAGTTCAATAAATGTGCAATTAACTCCACAGAAAATTACATTTTAACTTAGAGCCCCCCCTCCACAACATAGGTCAGTACTAGTGAAAAGTAAGCCCTTCTCCTCTTTCGCCATGGAATGAAGTACAGCAAAGCACCTCCCAATGCCGCGGCAACCAAGTTGTGCTGCTGTAAGATTTTTCTACTCATAGAATTTCAATAGCTTTGGCAGCCAGGCCTCATATAGAGGGAAAGCTGTAGCAATCACTCACACACCTCGGTGAAGATGAAGATCACCTCCTCTGTAACACCGTTCAACTGACAGTAAAGCAGGAGAATACTCTAGGCAGTGACAAACACACTCCAGCTTAAAAGGGAGAGAAGGAGATCACGTGCGTTTTTAGAATCACAGAATACTGTGCATTGCCACTCCCTTATAACAGCCCAGAATAAGATAGTACTGCAGTTCCAGTCCAGAAAACAGCACCACTTGTGACTTGTCGGAAGCCCGGATATCGGATGAAGCAACTGAAAAACAGAGCATCTACTTCTAAGAAAAAAAACTTTGAAAATCTTTGATTCCACAGAAACTGCTGACTGAAGCGCATATCAAGGCCTCGTCATAAATAAAACAAAACACGTTTTGTGACTGAGGCTGCGGTGTGTGTACACGACTTACTTGCACAAAGTCTTTCACCTACTATGTCTAAGTAACACAGGACTTGACAGGAGGTACCCCCAAGAGCTGCATCAAGAATTGGCTCATTCCCCGACTCACAAGGAGTGACATTCCATGGGAAAATGACTCCCAATCCCTACTGCCTCCAAAGTTTACCTGAAAATATTTTCAGCCCAAAAAACTATTCATTAAAACTTCAACTCCCCCCAGTTAAGACAAAAACCCTGAAGTCAGGGATTGCACACTGCTTAAAGAAAACAAGCGATAAACTATGACAAGAGGACGGCATGATGGCGCAGTGGTGGCCAATGCTCCCAGCCTGGGTTTAACTCGGGCCCTGGTGTGCTGTCTGCGTGGCGTTTGCATGTTCCCCCTGCGTTTTAGCGGGTTTCTTCCGGATGCTCCGGGGGTCCTGCCACAGTCCAAAGACACTGGCAGGTCCACAGACGTCTGGGAAAACCGGCCCCGATGTGTGTGCGTGTGTCCGCCTGCCCCGAGAGAGACAGGCGCCCCGGCCAGGGGGTACCCCGGCTTGCGCTCACTGCTTGCCAGGACAGCTTGCTCCGGCTCCCCCGCGGCCCTGTGCTGGATACTGTGGTTATGAAATGGATGGATGTACCACCATGAGTGTAAGAAAAGGTTTGAATTCTCTGCAATTAAACACAAATGTTTTGGTGAAAATGCCATTGGAATCTGAGACATCCAAACGAATTGGCAGAGATGTTTGTTAAAACTGCACGTTTTCCTTTTCGGCATCAGACCAGTTCCAGCGAGGAACTTCTGATAAGAGTGTTTGCTGTAGGAGCTGCAATGACATCCTAAAAGCCAAACCCTGGGATGTCCCCTGACTATCCCACCGCACTCACTCACAAGCGGGTTGTGTTTGAGACTTCAGGAGAATCGTTCCCCACAGCAGGTACCAAACATGTTTAAGAACACTTGGTAAAAAGGTGTTTTAAATACCATCTGCTATGTCTCTTTTAAAATCCATTCTTTGTTATTCTCAGTTTTATCTACTTTCGCACATGACGTACAAAAGGCATAGAATTCTGCTTTACACAGTCTTGGCCAGAACAATAATTAATAATCCTTCCAGTTATCTAAATTGAGAATATGGACACATTTTGGTCTTTTCAAGGTTGTTTTTTACATCACATTTACGAAAGAATTGTGGAATGCCAAGAGACTGGCAAAACCTGGCATTTTTTTGCAATTGTACTACAAACTGACTTTAAGTGTTGATAATGTACACTCTATGTGAATACAGCAGATTTTTTCTTATCCTTTTTGTATCTACTGCTGCAGTCAGAAGCATTCACACACTGTAATGGAAACATGATTACCTGCTGCTTCACTAAATGCAACAAATATTCTTCACTAAACATATTTCTCAATGATATCTGGAACTCGGACAGTAGTACAATGTGTTAAAATGTAAAAAAATAACAGTCTTTATTAACATTGTCTGAACATCTGTATCACACATTGTGACTTTTTGGCATAACATGGTAAAAAAGTCCTATGATCTACACACATGATTTTTTCTTTCCAGACAACCCTATGTAAGGAGGCCACAGTTCCTCCCCTACAAAGCAACACAAACCATGACCCATCAAACATTATACCCGTGTACACAAATAGACTTTAATTTTCTTCTCCACACTTTCACAACCCAGGTGAATGAAATGGCTACAAATAAAAACACAACCTCACATCAGCTGGCTCAATTAACATCTTTGCTTCATCTAGCAGATGCAGAATGATATAATCTGAGCTGCCAGAGATAAATTCAATTAAGTTGCTTAAAGGCAGAGTTCACAGAAAACACTGAGGATCCCTGCATTACATCACTAGCCTGCTGACCTCTTCAATTTAAACAGGGCAGAGAGGGCTCACCAGGGAGACAATGGGGTGGAGATACTTCCCCTGGTACAACAGCTAAGAGGAAACTAATCACTCTGACAGCCAGATAATCAGGTGTGCTATCATTTGTTAACTGGTCTAAACATTACCTTTGTGTTGTACTTACACTGAGGATTTTCTGTGCAAACCACCATGACAAATGTACATCTGAACCAAAAATATACATTATTAATGAGCCAAATCCAAAAAATCATAACTGCACAGAAAAGCCAAAGACCACTGCAAAGCTTTAAACAACAGATTAACGCAAAAGCGTGTCCTGTTTCACAACCTCGTCTTAAGTAAAATCTCCGTAAGTATATCGGTTGACTCACCATTTTCCTTTTCTTTAAATTTCCTCTCTTTCTCACCTCTACTGATGGGAGTTTAATTTGCTACAGCGTTGCGACTTACCCAGTGCAGCTGAAGGAGGTAAGCAAGTCACTTGGGAAAAGCCCTGACACCTCAGAGCAAGCGAGCACGTCGTCCCTACACTGTGAAAGAGTCAACCTCAACTTTGCAGCCAGACAGCTGACTTTCCACTTGTCAACTACAACACCATGGGCAGTCAGCCTGGCCCAGTGCTCCTCACTCCTGGGCCCTGCAGGTAGTACAAGCAACTTAACATCCTCCAAAGCTAAGACCCGGGAACAGCAGAATAAAATTACATCCATTATCTCCATAATTGATTCCATGAAGCCACTCCGAGTCCAAAAGGGACGAAAAACAGAGAATGAATTGAGCATTGCTGGTTTAAAGCAGGAGTGCCCATACCTATATTTAGTATTCCTTTTTAAATACAGGAGAGCAGCCACAGGCAATTTGGTAAAGACGAAAACGCACAAAATTATGAGGTGATGGGTTTTAAGAGGAAAGTCTGGAGGCGAACTGCCATATGATGTCAGAGGTTCACATAAGAGGGGAAACAGGACACTAGGAGCTGAAGTTACATTCCCTGCCACTGTGGGGCTGTTAAGGGCTTCTTCTCTCTCAGAGCCTAGCCCAATAGCCTTCCAACAGATACACTGTGGCACAAACATAAGAGATGTGAGTAATCTGCTTTTACTTCATGGGGGGAGAAGAGCCGAAATTTATCTGCCTGCTTTATTCAACTGGCAACGCGTTTTAGGTCACAATTGTTCTAGACTCGTCCTATCAACACGGAGACCGGGAAGACCGCAAACAGCTTTAGGAAGAGACGCAGCCCACTGCGAGGCACCTGGCCGTGACTCCTCCAGGTACACTTTCCCTGAGGTTTCTTTTATTGGAAGACCAAACCAAAAAAAAAAAAAGAAGAAAAAAGCACGTCTCCTGAACAAGACCGCACGGTGGGCCCAGTAAGTATCGGACCTCTGTGAGGATCACGTTTCTGGTTGAGAGAAGGAACAACCTAAACCCTACTTTGTGCGAATTAGCACTTAAAACCATCTTCAGGTGGCGTAAACACTGGATTACTTAAGCGCTCTGTTAACGAGAGCCCAGCTTTCCTCCGATGGGGAATTAAGCCAAGGAAGAGCCTCCTACTTACATAATGATCCTCCTGTTGAGGAACCAGTACTTCCGCCGGTGCCGGTCGTAGCCGATGGGCTCCTGCCGCACGTAGGGTTTGCTCTTCTGGCTCTCGGCCACGCAGTCCGTCACGCCCTGCACCTTGTGCGCCACGCAGATCTCGCACTGCCACTCGTCCTCGGGCACCTCCTCCAGGGGCGGCTTCACGCACTCCAGGTGGTACACGGCCGAGCAGGTCTCGCAGCACAGCAGGTCGCCCAACTTGTGGCACACACGGCAGTGGTCGTCGTACTGGATGACGCCCTCGGACAGGAGCTCCTCGCGGGCGATGTTGGTGGTGAGGAACTGGTCCACCAGGAACTGCAGCACCTTGACCTTGCTCTCCAGGGGGCCATAGGGGTAGTCCTCCACCTCCTGGTAGGGCAGCACGTGGTGGTACTCGCGGTCGCTCTCGCAGTACACCCGCACCACCTCGGGCCACGTCATGCCGTCGATGAAGTACAGCGTGGAGTTGACGCTGTCCTTGAGGTCGGCCGGGCCGAAGGTGGTGTTGGAGGTGTCCTCCTCACGCAGGATGGCCTTGAGCAGGGAGACGTGCGTCTCCGCGATCAGCGTGCACTGCTCCTGCCCCACCAGCGCCGCGCAGAAGTCCTCGAAGCGGAAGGGCGACAGCCGCAGGACCGTGCCAAAGTTCCTCAGCACCTCGTAAATGGCCGCCACGTTCAGGAGCTGCTCGTTGGGCACCATGAGGTCCTCCGAGGACTTGGGGAGCTCCAGGGGAGGGACCTCCTTCTCCTCGAAAATCGGGGAGCGGGGCCGGTGCACCCGCGGCCTCCTCCTGCCTACAGTCGGGGTGGGGAGGGGAAACAAAAGCATGAGAACAGCCATCAGGAACACCAATAGTTTTACCTGTAAAAACTATTCAGCTTTCTGAGCAAAACAAAAATACCTCAGAGGCCTGCTGGTCTGGTGGTAGGGACAAAAATAAAATACTCAAGTCTCCTGGAAATGAAACCCCAAGTTTCACAGTCTTAAAGAAAAAACAAGGTTCTACCATCATGTTTAAATTTGGCTCCAATTAATGAAACACCCCCCCCCCCCCCACTGCTTCAATTAATTATGGTTGGATAGCCGGTAACGTGGGCTGTCAGCAGAAGTTTGCACTGGGAAAAGGACCTGCGCTGTGCTAGCCAACAAAAGCTGACGTCTCAGCACCACACACGGTTTACATGACAAAAAGGAAGCATTCACTCATAATTAACACACACGTGGGAAATTATGGGTCACGTCTTTCAGTTTCCATACACAAAGATCCTGACTCAAACGTGCTATTTGGAAACCGCATGGATCCCAAGATCCCAAGGAAGATCCAAAATAAGAACTAACAAATACAGCCTCACTGTCTGACAGCACTCAGAAAAACAGGCAATTTTAACTGCAACTGCACATGCAATGACGCGATTTTCAATGTGAAAGTGAAGTATGGACCAATTAATGCGCTATTATATATAAAGAACATATATATATAATCTTTCTCATAACCTCAATTTTTTTTATTTCTCTAGCTTCCTTTTTTTTTTGATTAGTAGGGAACCACCTGCAATAGCTTCACTGGTCTCCCCCCAAGGTTAATAATTTAGGGGTGCCTCATCGGGGGTGACTTACATAACATCTACAAAACATACAATAATGGATGAAGAAAATCCTAAACTAAAATCACTAAACACAGAAGAAACAATACGGCAGACAGGTAGACGTTCAATGCCTGGGCAGAGCAGACTGAAACGAATGCCTATTAAGCAGTACACATGTAGGTAGTTAAGGAATGACTACAGTACACAGTCATCCGTGATTCAATAATCACTGATTACAGAGCAGTATCTGGTGGTTCAAATTCATGACAGAGTCCAAACAGGTGTGTTTTGGAGACGATACCTTAAAGGTGGTCTGAGTGCACACTAACGAGGATGGGAGGTGTACAGATCTGCCCACTGTCTAGAGGGCGTATCTGACGCTTACACCAAAGCTCCCCAGTTAAATGCCACATCCTTCACCTGCTGTTCAAGGGCTTGACCACAACAATGCCTCCATGCATCCGTGACATTTCGTGATCCCGATTGCGTATACTGCATTAACAACGCACCGGGCAATTCACGACTCCAACAACAGTATTGATCACAGAAGGGTTAAAATAACTAGCAGTGTGGCTAAGAAGTTAAAGAAGTTGGACGTGTCAAGAATAACTCATTGGATCAAGCCAATGTGAAGGCAAGTGGGATAAATTAGGCTGTTTCTTAGGAATCGTTTCATTGTTTAGGGGAAAATCAAAACATTAATGCTCTTCCCGAATGTGCATTCATAAGTCTGCTAGGGATGAATTCATTCTCCTAAACGCCACTTGTGAGTATGTGACAAGAGAAATGTAGACAAAGCTTCTTCACATTCCCCCCCCCAAAAAAATAAAACACCCCCATTGTCTGCAGACTTGAGCACTGAAGCGAAAGTTGGGACAAATGCTTTAGCAAACAAGCAGTCTAATTACTCTGTGTCTAATTAGCATCTTCGGGAGTTCAGCAGAAAACCTGCCCTCAAAGACGACAAGATAAAGAGGAACAAAATTGAATGTAATTGCTGCTCCCCGAGTCGTCTTCTCTTCGCTGTAATCTAGGCACACACATGAAAACTGCCCCCTGCAAATGATTTTGGGAAAAAAAATATTCAACAGACTGCTTCTGCACATCTTAACAAACGAGCACCTCCATTCTACTCCTCCTGTCTTGAAGAGAGATCACTTTTCCCCGTGTGCCTGTACCTGAAAAAGCACACAGTGCTCTAAGCCAGCCACCCTCCTTCCTATTGTTTTAAGATATGCTGGTTCCCCCAGGCCCCAGGGCAGCATCTCCTAGACCCAGAGCTGCCCTCTGCAGGCAAGGGCACCTGAGACTGGACCAGCCTGGCAGCAATATCATGTATCATCGTCGCTGGCAAGAGGGAACAGGGAACTTCACCCGCATGCTTCCAGAGAAATAGGTGATGGCCGAGTTATGAAACAGCAGTTAGTGAAAGTCCGGTACCACAGCAGCTCAGCCATTAATACCCAGATCCCATCCCAGAGAGAATATTGCTCTGTGATCCTCCTGTTGAGGAACCAGTACTTCCGCCGAACCAGTACTTCCGCTCTGTGATGGGGATACCCAGATCCCATCCCAGAGAGAATATTGCGCTGTGATCCTCCTGTTGAGGAACCAGTACTTCCGCCGGTGCCGGTCGTAGCCGATGGGCTCCTGCCGCACGTAGGGTTTGCTCTTCTGGCTCTAGAGCAGCTCAGGTCACTGTGCAATACCGACTCATATCCCCGTACTCACAGGCACCCACATGTGCACGGGTAACCAAATGCATCGACACCTCCATCTCCTTGTGGATGCATGCACTCCACAGGTCAAAGAAACCACGGTTCTAATTTTATAACAAATTAGATGACAGGGTTACGACTGTGTGTGGTGTGTGGCATGCATAAAATGATCTCCGTCTTGATCTTCGTTTTACACTTCTACTTGACTTTATGTAAGGCAAGCAGGCTGTTCCGGTGTTTAAGGATGAATGGCTGGGTTTCTTTCCTCATTATGTGGAACTCATTATGACTTCAGCAGACGTACCTGAACGTACGGTTTACTCGCAGAGGGTCACACTGAAAAGGGCTGAAAAGGAGAGTTTCTGGAGTCACGGTCACCCCCCTTCTCAGACAAAGCACCAGCCGAGAGCCATGGGTGCTTCTTAAAATGACTTTTTGTCTCATCAGTAAAATGAGGACGTACAAAGACAGGTCGCAAAAGGGGAGGAAACCAGTCATTTGGCTGCTAGGGGCTAAGTGAGATGACTATCTAATCGAGTTGTTTCTCGAAAGAAAGCGGGGTATCGGCGTCATCACAGCTGGGCAGCTTGTCCCGATGTCCCGTGATGCTTCACCCCTGCGCGCATCGCAGGAGCTGCAGGAACTTTCCTGAAGTTTCTGTCACAGAGCGAAGGTACTCTTACAAAGCTGCATTTCCCAAACTGGGGTTCTAAAAGCCTTTTGCAGGGATCCCCCTGAAGGATTCCACCTGCTATCGAGAAAAAACGTCCATCAACGGAAATGCCTGAAGCCGAAGTCTCCCTGTGCCCCACTCCTATTAATGTTCACCTACAGAATCAACGTCAGGACAGCCTGGTTTAAAATCGGGTTTCTCCCTGCCGAAGGAGGTACAGCCCTTGAAAAGGGCTCTCCCAGCGAGCAGAGTGTGTGAACACAGACACTGTGTGCACTACGAGAGGGTAGGATACAGGTAGAGAGGACAGAAAGACGGGTATCTGTTGTGCAAAACTGTTCAGGGCAGAAATTAGGAATGACTGCGCTGACTTCACATCAGTCTTTATCACGGCTCGCCTGTGTACAAGAGCCCTCTTACCTGAGGAAACCCATACATGACAAAGACCAGAAGCCACAGCTAACTCCTCCTTCCTCTTCCTCTTCTGCCAATTTAACAGCAACACTGCCTAAACGTTACTGGCATCTCTGCCTGAGACTTCTTACTGAGAGACCCCGAGGATACCCACATTAAGCCCTGATCTCAGAGAAATTAAAGAAAACTAAAAGAGGAAGATGTACAAATCACAAAATACACGTGATAAAAAAAAACTGATAAGTAAATGAAATTATTCAGTTTCTAAAAACACTTTTAGAGGGCAGGAATGAAGTAAGTTCATAGTAACTGGGGTATTTATATAAATCCGTGGTGCTTAATACACATAGCATTAAAGAAAATAAAATCGAATATTACAGATAACTGGGTTCCTGAATTTTATGGTGATTTTTTTTACAGATAATCATAGCAGTAGGAAAATTACAGTTCCATTCTGCATTCTTTCAACTTGCCAAGCTGGTAATTTCTGCACATCAAAAAATATCATTTTAGCTTCCACTCTGAAGATCTTACAGATACATTTTACCCACAATTACGCGTAAAATTAGTTGCAGCATAGACAATCCCTTAGTGCCTTCTAAATTAATTATTTATTCCCGTGGAAAGAAACAAAATATCACTTCGACTGCACCACAGCAGTTTTTTCTCTCGATGCCTTAAAAAGGGGGCATAAAGCCGCTTTAAGTATACACAAATGTGAAAGTCCTTAAAAAATTGAGCAGAAGAGCTTAAGAAACGCAAGGTGTAGAATAAAAATGAGCAATATCTTGGTAAAAAAAAAGGTGTTTTATTAATATTCTCCGTGCATGTTCTTATCTGGTATTCTGGAATCAATGCTTTGATGTCAGGAAGGGATAATAAAAATGTGTATGGAATAAAAAAAGTTAAGATTCCGTTAGCATCCCTGACAGCCCAGTGGATCTGCGCCCCCCGACAGGTGAGACGGACACGCTTGTTTTCACAACACAGGCCGCGTGTTCCGGGGGGGTCCGGGTCAGCAGGTCACACCTCTCCTGCACCTGAACCCCTGTCCCGAGGCTGAGCCAGCGACGTCGGCTCGTCACACGTTTCGGCCGTAAGCCGAAAGAGCCGCCCGGGTTTTTGCAAACGCAAAACAGCAGGCCGGTGCAAAAATCATAAGAGTGCCCGTCAGGGGGTTTGTGCGCTCGGCTACGGAGGTCCGCTGTCACCCGCCTGTCCTGTTTAAAAACAGGTCCCCCCCCGTCGTCACCCCAACAAATCCGCACTTCGAGGCCCATTTTGGAGTTTATTTAATCGGCAAAAAAAACAACAAAATTCAATAATAATATCAATAAAAATAATAAAACGATTATTTCCAAACGCCCCCCAAACTGCTCGAGTCCCTTTACAGTCCCAAGTCTTCCCACGGACGACAACAACAACAACAACAACAAAAAAAGAAAACCCCAACAACACGACAAAAACGGCGACAATCTGGAAACGAAACGTCAAGATTCGGGCGCAAAATCCGTGCGAGTTACGCGAGACCAGGCCGCGGTCGTCCCCCCCCGGGGGGAAACGCAGAAATTAAAAAAAAAAACTAAAACTACGGATAAAGTTGAGCCGGGAGCCGCGGTGCTGCCGAGCCGAGGCCTGCTGCCTGGCGGCCGGAGCGCGATCTCCATTTTGAACAATACCGCTTCCTGCACGGCTCCTGCTCCACAAACGTGCGAAAATCAAACCCCGGCGACTCGCCTCGCTGGCTTCGCCATCTCTCACCCCCCCTCCCCTCTCCTCCTCCTCCTCCTCCTCTCCCCCGGTACCCAAAAAAAAAAAATGAAGCTTTTACCTGGGGCGCTGCCGTAGGTACTGTGGCTCCTGAAGCTGCTCTCCGTGCAGTAGCTCGCATCGTCGTCGTCCTCGCCTATTTCCTCCAGGTAGTCCGACTCGTCGTCCAGCGCTTCCTCCTCGTCCTCGGACGCCGGCTCCTCTTCCACGAAGTCGTCGTCGTCCGACCGCAGGCTCACGGCGTCCTCCTCCTCCTCGTCGTCGTCGCTCTCAT